TTCACTCAGTATTTGACTTCAAACAACATAAATGAATACCCGTTGATCTGTGTAGTTCTGCCATCTGGTCTGAAAATCAAAGTTGTAATTAACGTTGCCACAGGACTGTTAAAGTTTTGTATTTTGAGTGACTTTCACACGTGTGTAACGATTTCATTTTAAGCAAATATAAGATCAAAGAAGTGTTGCTAAATGTAGTAATCTGTACTTTATTAATGCATTAGCAATTTCAGTAATGTACTATTAAAACCTGTTATAACCAAAACCTCTAAATCAAATTTCTGCCTTAAAATTATTTTATTCCAAGACTAGTGAAAAAATGAATGAACAGTAAAGATATTCTCATTAAACAAAGTAATTGTGGGAACATGTTAAAAGCATGGGGCAACTGCATTCCAAAAATAAACTTTTAATGGAAAACACAAAAGAAGATAAGTGTTGAAAAACCAATTATATATGACATGATCAAAGCAAATATTACTGGCAATGGAACAGGAGATATACCTTATCTTCTTGTTATTGTGGTGGTGAAGTAGCAAAGATGACTGGACAGCAACAATTTTTACTCTTCAAATAGTCATTTATTAATATTAACTCTTTCACGGTAAGATATTTGTTAGAACAAAATGCCTTGAATGCATAACAAATTTCAGTTTTTTTACTACTTATCAGTACATTCACCAAATATTCAGAATTTGCAAATAAGAGGAGCAGAATTATCATCTATGTTTAGTTTACTTTTAAAATATGTCATGTTAACCATTTTAACGTCAGTAACAATGCTACATACAAGTTTGGAATTTTCAAATAAAAGAGACATCTTGGGACAACCTACAGGAAAAACAAAAGCTTCCACATATTGTGAACAGTAGTCTTCCAAGAAATGGCTGCTGCATAAATGTGTGATCTACAGGGCATATAGCATATAAATTCAATCTGCAAGTTATGCAGAAATTGGCTATTACCTCACATTAATTTCAATTCTGCAGCAAGAGATAACAAGTATTTCATGCAATGTAAACCACACCCAAACTCAACGTAACATGATACAATCAAACATGTAACCTTACAAAGTCAAACAGTCTTCAGTTCTCATCTCTTGTAAGTTTCACGCTGTCTTATTAGGTACTATTAAGAACCTTCGTTAAGTTGTATGAAAATTGAAGAAAGGAATGTTACACCATAAAAATGCTTACATAGCAGTTTGGACCCAAATCATTTTAAAAAAGTTCAGAAATGTATAGATAATGGAATAATGTTGTTGTGTTCCCCAGAATATCGCCTTTGCAATTGGTGCCAGTTAGCACCACAATTGTCAAGATTCAATGAATTATGCATGAGTAAGTGACGCAAACTGATGTCAATTCCGTACACAAGAATGCAAGTATGTCTTCCTCACAAATGCCTGATATTGTTGTCTGGTTTTAACCAAAACTGCAATGTATCAACACATTTTAGTAAAATTCCCCAACATCAAATTTCTTAATTACTGGTTCTCTAGAGTTGTTACACGCAGCCAGATGTGGGACACGCACATACACGTCTAAAATTTTAAGTTGTGAATATGCAAAGAAAAATCATGTGAGGAGGATATAAACTTTCAATTTCAAGACAATGTGAAAATAAACATAACTTTCCACATTTTTTCCACTTTGTTGATAATAATGATATCTACTGCACTAGTAAGTGTAAAGAGTCTAATAAAATTCCAGGAGGCTCTGCTACAACCAGTACAGCCCAAGAAAGTTCAATCTGACACTAAGTATTACAACTTCAACTATATATACTCTTCACTTCTCAATAGACATATGGGAAAGACTGTTGCCCTGCAAGCTTAAAATGAATGGTCGAGTCTGAATATACCACAATAAAGATCTTGTACAGGTAACCCTCGATTTGCGCCGATTCAGAATAACGCCGATTTTGAAACCAGCAAGTAAAAATGTGAAGAAGAAAAATCTACTATTATTTATAATGTTTAATAATATATCTCGTACTGATTCTTATACTAAATCGTAATTCTTACATCGTTGATTTTGAATAAAAATTATAAATACAGTCATCTCTGCAATTACTTATGTTTCGTTAACGTAAATTTGCTCCAATGAGATCGATGAATCGGTAAAAGCTGTTTGTGAAATGCAAACTTTTGCATATGCGAGTTTGCTCTTATGCAATTGCATTCCTGGTGCTTTAAACTTTCAAAGGACTAATTTAATCTCTGCGGAGGTACCGGGGTTATTTTTACTAAGCGATTTTCTATAGGTCGGCGTCTTACATGAATGCAACTATCGCATAACAGCAGAGATCGCAGTCAATCGTGGGGACCAACGAATTGCCGATTGTAAGTGTATAAAACATATTTTTAAATTCCCTTTATTTTATTTACGTTATTTCAGGACTTTAAATGTAATGCCATTATATTACTCGTCAATGTTTGGGTGCTGGGAACGCATGTAATTGACTTCCCATTGATATACATTATAAAAGAGTTTCAATTTATGCCGGTTCGTCCAGAAACGCATCCCGGGTGTAAATGGAGGGCTACTTTATTTGCAACTGCACATACATTCAGCAATGGGGCCAAATGTAAAGAGAACAAAACTGAAATGTATGAACCCCCATCATGAACCAAAGGAAATAAGGAATAAAACAACAATATGAATGTCATAAACTGACACAACTGACAGTCAGTTCCAATCATGTGACAATGCAAAAGAAAAAGACGTTTCTTTATACCACGAAGATGACAGTGTTTAACTTGCACTTCTTTCACTTCTGCCAATCTGACACAAAAAATTGAGGCAAATGTGACAATGCAAAATTAAAAATGGCATGAATGTTAACCCACCCCTATCACCTTAGGCTGCAGGCAGTTCAGTAGAAATATTTTGACAGAAAAATACCACTAAATGCAGTAAACATTATTCATCCACACTTTGAGATGCAAAAAGACAAGAAGAGACAATACCAATGTGAATGCAAGTGTACAGCTGCCCATCCTATTTCATGCTACTTCAAGAAAAAGCAACTTGCAAGGTGAGAATCTATTTGTGACACAAATAAAGATAATGTGTCATTCTATGGAGATAGTCTGGTCCTGAGGATATTATAAAAACTTTTGATGTGGTGCAATCTGATTGTAATTCTGCAGATACTCAACACATCTTGCTCAAATTAGCACCAGAGTATCAACAGCTTATGATCTGTTTATAGGGGCTGTCCAGAAAAAAGATTTTTCAGAAATTGTCTCCTTGACTAAAAATAAGACTAAATAAAATGTAATGACAAAATGCAATTTGACTCTTCCGTTTCGTTTTTAATCTAATATTGCACAATTAGTGACAGTGCACAAATCTGGACTTTCAGAGCCGGGAACATACACAGAATGTTCCTCTTGTAGCACAGAGGTGAAGGTTTTGTTCTTCAAGCAGACAGGTTGTGTTCAATCCCCATGCAACTCATTCTTTACTTTTATTAATAAGAGTTGCGGGGTAATTTAACAGTGTAGAATGTTGACACTTCCTGCTTACTCTGCACACCTACACAGCGAAAGGATATAAATATAAAGATGGGAAGTTGACTTTGTACATTTTCATATTAACCAATTACAAGCTTTTAGATACACAAATTATTGTTGGCTTTTAGACTGAAAGGAAAGTAATGAGTTTAAAACTAAAAACTACCTGCCATGAAGGCCAAACGAACACGAGTAATATAATAATGATGTTCTATATTTTGGTACCAAGCAGACTGGTCAGAATATTCCAATGTTTCAGAGCACCACACTGTATCCATCTTATGGGATAAAGTGGTGACACTAGGAAGTGGAAGGATTCACACTGGGTTAGAGGCATGGATGATTGATTCAGTGGAGACAGTATGGTTCTTTGAAATGTTGGCATCTACTAACCATGCCAAAACTCAGAAAATATTCATCCCCACATCCACAAAAACTTAAAGTTTCACATAAAGATATTTTGATTTGTGCTTTAAAAATTTGTTTAAACAATCCTCCTACCACTCTATGGACAATGGATTCAAATACATTCTGCAAAATACCATCATTGACCATATCCACAGAAACATGCAGACAGGCAATGTACCTTCTGGTACAATTTGGAGGGAATAAACATTTTCCATAAAAACCCCACAAAAATAAACCCTGCCTTGCTCCTTCTCAACCAATCAAACCTAAATTGTTTAGAATAGAATTTATTTGCTATTGTGGTTATGATTTCCAATGAAAGTAGTGTCACTTCTGTGATTTAATAAGACCCATTAACCAAATATGAACATCAGCAGCTGAAATTTAACAGCAAGCCTTACACTAATTTCATTTATCAGGAATCCACCATGTCATATAAATAAAAATTTGTTCATGTTTAGTCTAAGCCATGAGCATACAAAACCATAGCAGAAAATTTTCTTCTGCTTTTGGAATGAAGTCTCAAAATGTCTTTCCACCCCGAAATATATTATTACAGGAAGTATATAATAATTTAGGAACATATTATTTTACCTGAATGTCGTTCATTTAAAAACTTGTGAAAACACAACATTTTCACATAGGTAAAAGGCAGCATTAATAAGAAAGTTCAAGCTTTGTTTCTCTCATACATTTAGACAAATACACAGAAATGTTAAGACAATATTAATTGTATTGTGAGTGTGGTTTAGCAACAAAAAATGTCTAAGCCAGCAGTTAATAGAAAAATTGAATGAATCTCATGATGGGAGCACAATATTAAGAAAAATAATCATCTACCCTAGCACATCAACAGTATTTATTGAATTGCAGTTGGTAAGAGTAACATTTGGCAGTATAACTTGTATATAAAATGTCATGGAATACAAATATTACTGGTGTAATTATCCGCCTGAATTCTCCTTACCCTGAACTGCACCTAGAAAATGTCTGTACAAAATGTTTAATTGGTCCTTCCATTCTAAAAAGCAGGATTGTGCACTTTCTGATGTGTCAACAAGACAGACCTTGACAAAAAACCCTTATTGCAAACATCACACACATATTGTCCATGGTCATGTGATCTCCTATGCACAATTAAAGATGACTGTTGTGTGAAAGATTTGCCACACTGTTCACAGCTGTATGGCCGTTCACCAGTATGAGTTCGTTGATGAATCTTCAGGTACTTTTTGGAAATAAATGCCTTGCCACACACATCACACACATTGGGCTTCTCGCCCGTATGTGTCCGCACATGGATCTTGAGGTAGTCCTTGCTTGACACTGCCTTCCCACAAATGGTACATGTACACTGGCTCTCCCCTGTATGAGATTTCATATGTGACATCAATACCTGTTTTCGTGAATATGTCTTATTGCAAATTTCACATTGGTGTGTCTTTTCAGGTGGTTTGTAGTCCGGATCATGCTTCTTTTTATGTACAGTGAGCCTATATCGGTACCGATAAGCCAACCCACAAATATCACACTGAAAAGGTTTCTCACCTGTATGACCATTCTTGTGTTCCTGCAGTTCAGTGTTTGTGTAAAACCCTTTCTCACATATTTCACACCGAAGTTTGTATTCATTCAAGTGTCGTTTCCTGTGATTTACAAGGTTTGTTCTCTGTATGCATGAGTAACCACAAATATCACATACATGATTCTTCTCACCAGTATGTATCTTTTTATGATCTTTCAACTCAAACGCCCGTTTAAACCTGCGATTACAAATGTCACAAGGAAATGGACGCTTCTCACTATGTATCACCATGTGCACAGTTAGTGCTCCCTTCGATACAAATGCTTCACCACACATAGAACATGCAAAGGGGCGTTCACCTGTGTGAATCCTTCGATGAATCAGCATCTTGCATCTTGTGAAGATCTTTCCACAAAATTCACATTTATTCCAACTTTTACCCTTAGACTTCCTCTCCTGTTTTGTACAGTTCTCTCTTTTGGGGGAAGTCAACCTGCGTTTCTTTTTGCCAACAGAATCACTATTGGCATTTTCTGCAGATCTGGAAAGAAGAGAGATTAGTATAAATTCCCCAAATACCTCCATCAAGATCCCCTTTCCTCAGAACATCCATTTCAGAATTATGTCCAAAATCACATAACTACTTTTAATTCCAGTAACTACTCAAAAACACCATTAAACAATCTCGTGTTTGGGTACCAATAAAATTTACAAGACAAATGTAGTTCAGAATGCTTTCACGAATATTTTAACTATAACCTACAATTTTATACAATAAAATAAATTTAACACTAGTCTGGCAACATGACAAAAATAAACAAACATGCATTAAAACTGTAATGGTGTTTGTTGTGTAGTAGTTCAGGTGAAAACCTGGGAAAGAACCTTTAATAAGCCTCAGAGATGTAACTCCAAATCAGAATACTATAAAACCATGTGTGTCCACAACATCATACAAGCAACACAAGCTGCATGGTACTTCCAAGTTTCCCAACTTGTACAGGATGTGTGGCATTGACATAATGTTCGTTATCTTCTCTTGATAGCAAGATTCACGCCCACTAAACACTGCGGAAATTATCATTATATCAAGATACAATCAAACTAATATCAATGTCCTACTAAAAATTGTTACTTGGTATTAACCTTATTTCACAAAAGGAATATTCTTGAGATTATATATGCTTCTACTCAATACAGAGACTTCAAAATCACAAAATATTGTAACAAAACATTTCTAAGCAGCCCTGTCATGATCAATGATTGTCTATGATATCAAAAACCGTGTCTTGAAGATTCCATCCATCATAGTGCTAAAGGTAACACATCAAAACATTCATCATATAATCTACATTTCAAATTGCAATGTAATATTCACAGCTCTGAGTTCCACGATATAACAATTCCATATTCTTCTTACATTCATGTCACTTAACCCTCTTCATTTCTTAAGCACATGTAATGTTCACCTTTCCACTAAAATGAGTTGCACAGTAGTCTTTCCTTCACCAATTTACTACTAGAATCTCACATAAGATAATCATTTGTTCATTTAATTGACAAACTATCTTGCACTTCTTGGTACAAGAAAATTAAAGAAAGGGAAAAAATTTCCTCTCAGATGAAAACGTTGATTCTAAATGTCACTACTCAACACACCAAATGTGCATCCAGTTGACATTTGCACTAGCTATGTTATACATGTATTGCTTACAATAATGTTTTTGTTCTGCATTTCAATATTCCACATTTCACCTGACACATTACCATAAGGCACGACAGTCTTTAAACAAGACCACAACTTTCACATAATTTCTTATGTAGTAGTTACAAATTTATTGGCTGGAACACAGGTAGCAATTATTAGCAGCTACCATTTGGTCTGATGCCAATCTTCACATAATTACAAAGTCTACCCTTTATATGTGGCGACACAAGAAAAAAGATGTAAACTTAATCAATAACCATCATTTTCATTGCTATGATGAGCTAAGACTGTTTTTCTGTGAAATTGTCACTGCTTACAGCTCCCAAAATGTTTTAAAGCAGCAGAATGATATGACAGAATAAAACTGAGGAACTTTGAAAAGACCTGTCGCAGTGTCACTTTGTCCACCACAACTTCCACGTGGACTGCCCCTGGCAAGAACCTGTACTACTTCAGTGAAAAGTCAATGATTGTCTGTGCTATGGCATGGATTCTAGATACTAAGAATGTTAGTAACACCCATAGGCATCTTACATTCACATCTGTTATGGGGTTATTTAAAAAATAATGAGGTAAACATGACTAAAGTCTGTCTATTCTAGGAACCATCTGTGCCTACGCAAAGTTTTCAGCAGGTCCCAACATGCATGAAGGCATGTATGTATGTATGTGTGAAACATAACACATCACTTTTCCACTAGTCTCCACATATGTTTAAAAATTTGACAAGGAATCTATTTTGGCTGAAAGAAATCAGTGTTAACAGCCTGTAAACAGGAAACAGCAGTATACTGAGTGTCTGTTGTAAATCATAGATCAGACAGGTGCTCTTTCAAGAGTGCAGAGAAGGAAATCACTTGGTGTGAGGTCAAAAGTGTGTAACAGGTAGGTAAGATCCTCCTACTCTGGAGGTTGCAAGCAGTGGTAAGTAAAGTTAAAGGACAAAAAACATAACCAGACAAGTTTACATAATTATCAATAGAAGAATGGGCACCTGCAAACAAGCATGTGAACTATGCGAAGAACATCGAGAATCAGCATGTGGTGGACAATATTCACAAAAATTGTCACAAACCTACCATTATCTGATTTCAACTGAAGCAATAGCATGTTGTGGTGTGAACACAAACCCATGTTTTTACAAAGAGAGATGACACTGGTCCAGCCTGGATGTTCCCTTGCTCCCTCCACTTGCCCTCCCTCCTACTCCTTCAGTATGTCAAGCCTGAAGGAAACACAACACCCACACTGTTGTCTTAAGACCACAAACTGCTTCTATTCAACACATTAACGACATCTTGAGATAGCACAACACAAAGTGTCAACAAAGAATGTACTGAAGAAGGGATTGCAAGTGTTCTTGCTCTTAGTATACGTATTTATGTGCAATAACTTTCTGCTTTATTAGTGTGTAAGTAATGGTGATCAGTGAAAATTTTTTTACCAACTTCTTTCTGCCCTGAGTCTGTTGTTTGTAAGATACACTATTGCAGTCAAAACAACAGAACTTCCACTTGGTACATGAATGGAGGTCTGTGCTAACAGTAAAATTAGAAATTATGTTTCTGAAACTGCTTCACTTCACTGCTTGTGGGATAGCTTTCTTGCCTTATATGTGTTAAAATGTTGCACGATGCCATGTCAAGCCTTTCCAACAATCACTAGAAGATATGAGATTTGTCCATCTGGACAGTCATGTTGAACTGCGAAGTTCCAAGAGATGAAACTGCCAGAAATCTCTGGAGACTTTTGAGTCAGGGTTAACAGTGACAATTCTTTCTTCTGGTTTATCTAGTTTCGACAATCATAGATTTATACCAAATGCAAATTGATATAGTACCAATAACATCATTAGAAGAATTTCCAACCTACAAAAAACACAAGTATGTTCTGGTTGTAACATTCTACAGAACTTTGTGAACACTGTCAGATTATAAACTACATTTTATACACATAAGTGGCTTGGCAAATGCTGCAATGAGGTTAATGTTACCAAATACAGAACTTTTGTAAAAGTTGTCATTGTTTCCTTGACTTTGTTTCCTCCCAGACTGCAAATGTGCAAATTTGAGTTTCTTCTCAAAAATTTTGTATTCAGCTTATTGATGTGTAACAAAGATAGAAAGTAACTCAGTAAAAACTAGTTCATAACAAGATAGGCAAACGTAATAAGGGATGTCTCAGTCCAGCCTTATATGATGTATAACCTTCTTAAGTTATAATGAATTTTTAAAACAAATTTGGTAGGGGAAATGTCCATACTAACAGCAGTTATCATAAATGCACACTTGCAATGATTCATTATACTCCATATTTTACACAATGGGAAAACTGACATCAGACTTGTAAGACAAAATGGCGACAAGAAGAAATATACATTACATAAAAATCTACAATTACCAACATTTTCCAGCATGGTGCATTAAATGTGCATTCTGTGCAGAAATATAAGTTGTCATCATTCAAATTATGAACAAACATAAAATTTATCTCAGTTGTGTAAATATCTTTCTGGAAATGTGAGCATTAATGTCCGAATTTTCTTCACGCTACCTTCCATGCAAGTGGCAAGTGAATAAGCACCAAGTATGCTGTTTGGTGCACTAAAAACCCACACGAACGAAAAAAGAGGTTCGCAAAACGTGAAAATTTGGTGTTTCCAAATTTGGGATTGTGAACCCCAAGACTTTTAAAAATGCAACAATAAATGGCAACTCATACCTAAAAATGCTGCAAGAGTTTGAGAACAGCATTGCTTTCAGGAAGAAAGCACTGCCCCATTTTTTGTTACTGGTTCAAAATTACCTGGATATTACATTCCCTCACCAGTGGATAATAAAGGTAGCCCTTGCCCTGGCAAGCATGATCCACATTGCCTAGCATCCAGCAATGCTGGTTAAGGGGGTGGCTAAAGAATTGTGTTGATGAAGTAAAGGCAAAAAAATCTTGACTTAAAGCATCACATAACCATTCACTGCCAGCATACCAATTAAGAGAACAGCCTTCCTGTTGATTGGTGCCTACATCAGAAACCTCAAAAACTATAAGTGATTCAATGCAAAATAATGGTTTTTCATTCTCTTAGTGTAGCAAACACACCAGTTCATCTTGGTATGTCTTTGACAACGGTATGTTTCTCAAATTTTGTGTAAAAAAGTGATGATATTTCGTCTAGTGAAAAAACAAGAAAAACAGAGTGAGCAAAAAATTCAAAAGGAGTACGGACCAAGTGAACATGCACCTGATGACATTAATAGTGATAGTGCTGATAATGTGTGGTGTCTTGAAGTGATGCAGTCTTAAAAACTGGCCGATTCCAAGTATTTGCCACAAAAGTTGCCTTTAGCGATGACCACTGGCCGACTAGCATCGTAGACAATGTACAAGTTTTTGGTTCTTCTCCAACAATAAACAGGCAGATTTTTTGTTAAGACTAACTGATATGCACAAACATAATGCAAGCTATGCAGTGATCAAGTCAAGAATGATCAACAGGTGTGTGACAACAGGGACAGTTGATGAGAATAACACAGAAATCCACTTTCTCATCATGGATCCTTTCCTAGAAATATCTCCTTTTTTTCCTGCAACTACATCCCAGGATATATATGAAGTCATTATAAAATGTAAGCATTTCACTGTCAATATTGTTCAAAATCACTACTATAAAAAATTTTACTATAAAAAATTAACATTTGCTACCAACTTATCTACCTACTTTGTGGAAAGCCAGGTTGAGTATCAAGCACACATCCACCCTCATGAAAGCCTCTAAGTTTGGCATAAAAACTTATAGGCATTAAAAGTTATGAATTATATAAGTCTGGAACAGGGTACCTCAAATCACATTCTGAAAATAGGAACTGGAAGAGATGTTAAAACAAGAATATGAAATCATGACAATTTCATAAACTCAAAAATTCTTTGTACATGAGCAATTACTATAATTCTCCACATTTGGCATCATTTCAAAACAAACATGAATATGTAACCTAATGACCTAAAGATGTTTGTCTTCTGGGTTGTAACACTGTAATCTGGTAGAAGTTAACTAATGTTTCAGATGTCCTTACTGCCTCCATCATCAGCAAGGACCTCTGAAACATTGTTAAACTTCTACCAGACTACACGATACTACGTCAGAAGACAGCCATTATCGTACTCGCCAACATTAGAACCTCAAATCCTGCCTAAATATGTAACCAACATGGGTGGAACTGGCTTAAAGACCAAAAACTGCAGTTCAACGTCTTGGAAAAGAAGTTTTGGATAAATAGTATTTCAAATTATTTAGGAAAATTCACAATGGGACACTTCATAATTCATACACCTACAGCACATAAACCTCCATAGTTCATCACCTGACCTGATAAAGGCGAACACCACCTATAGACAAGCACCACAACCACCATCAATTAGCAAACCTTCAATCCTCCACCCAATGCTTGTCAAAAGAATTTCACCTAATGATAAGCAGATAAAATGTGTTGATTGCATTAAATCTGGAGTCAGAAGAGACTATATTACTTCAGACTTTCAAGGCAACTAAACCAAACTCACACGATTCCCCCCATGATGGAGGTGGAGAGGATCTCACTGTCCAGAAATGATCTGGCTTGCTGCCGAGAGAATTTTATCAAGAACAGAAACTATTTACTTGTATCCCGTTTGTTAAGTAGTACTGCGTTGATTCTTGCTTCAAGATATTCCATGACAAACAAGTCTATTGAGGCAATGAACTGAATCATAAGTCATATATAAATTTACAATTATTGTTCTACAATAAAATCTTCTTGGGCAATCAGATGTGTGAAATAGTTACAAGAGCCAGGATTCTTGTTGTTAGACATGTTGGAGGCATATTTTAAATTCACATGTCACCTTTACACTTCAAGCACATTCTTGAATTACCAATACTTCAAAATTAATGTGTTGATCAAAACTAAAACGATCCCCCGTCATTTTGTGTACCTGAATCATGGGATACAATACTGCAGTGTCATCTGATAAGTGTATACCACACCAGGTTTCCCTCATAACCAAAATACACAGATCAGTAACACGGTTAATATTCCATATTCTAACGTACACACATCTTTTTGGGCAGCTGTAGTTCAGAAATAATGACAATTTTATTACCAGATGCGAAATTCTGATATTCTGTGGTATAATTCATTCCACAGAAGGTTCAAGAAACTTACATTACCAGTTTGAAGGGGTCAATTGCATAACCTTAAAATGCAATTTCATAAAATATGTCATTACTTAAAAAGCATTTAGGGCAACCAATACACAACAAAATAACGTACAAGAACTTTTCCCTTCCAGATACCAATTAAAAAGTAAATCAAAGAAATGCAGGCAATAGCCATGATATAATCCCTGACCAAACTTTCAAAAAGTCATGACTATTCTCCTTCCTCCATTTTCTTTAGGAAGGACTGAACTCGTTTGAAACACGTTAGGTGATAGGCAGAAACAGCCATCTCTTGGTACAAATTGTAACACCAATAAAAATTAATTCTTAATGCCATACGTACACTAATTATCTTAAGCATTTAAGATCTGTTTACATACTTCAAAATGAAAGACAATAATTGTAAGATTTAGCTTCACTATTGTCCTGTCAAATACACATCATAAGAAGTCATCAAAATGTCAAGAAAAAACAGCATCGTAACTTTCATTTTACAAAGAGTATCAACATATAACATTTTTCCAGTTTTTATTAGATTTGTAAACAGTGGCACACAACCCATGGCCTATGCTCAAACCATTCATTTCTTCTGGCACACAAATCAATCCAACAGCTTATCTGCAGATACAAAAACAAATACATGCAATTTAACTTTACATTTCAGACTAATATAGCCACTGGCCAAATCCGGAACTGTCTAATTATAAGATTAAGGTCTGAAACTACACACGTCACTATGAACGCACAACAAAATATCCAGCGCTATAATACCAACAAAGGATGATCAGGACTGTGATATCAGGGATTCAAACTTCTTCCCAGTGCTGCCAAATGACACAGTAACCTTCATCAGTTTAAACATTTCTGACCACCATTATGACACTTCCCATGAGTTCGTAGTAGAGTCTTCGACACAAAACTCTTGCTGCATACCTCACACTGATATGGTTTCTGCCCAGAATGATAACGCTTGTGCACAGTCAATGTGGATCGCTGCGTAAAAGACTTCCCACACTGTTCACAAGTGTGCGGCTTTTCACCAGTGTGAGTACGCTGGTGAACTTTCAAGTACTCACGAGAGATAAATGCCTTCCCACAAACATCACAAATATCAGGTTTCTCCCCTGTGTGGATTCGAACATGAACCATGAGCGAGGCTTTACTGGACAAAGCTTTCCCACAAACACTGCACACAAAAAAGCTCTCACCAGTATGTGTTCGCATATGCAGAGTGAGTGACCCTCTTTGCATAAATACCTTACCACATACCTCACACTGGTGTTTATTTGCAGGCAGTATGTAATTTGGATCATGCTTTCTTTTATGAAGTGCCAAATTATGTTTGTATGGGTAAGCTTTGCCACATACATCACACTGGAATGGCTTCTCACCTGTGTGAATATTCTGGTGTTCCTGCAACTCCGTACTGGTATAGAACCCTTTACTGCAAGTAACACAGTAGAACTTGTAATCATTGAGATGCCTCTTGCGATGATTCACCAAATTTGACTTCTGAATAAAGGTCGAGCCACAGATATCACACGCATGGTCCTTCTCTCCTGTGTGTATCTTTCTATGATCCCTCAATTCACTAGACCGTTTAAACTTGCGCCCACACACCTCACATTCATGAGGACGTTCTTTGTTATGAATAATCATGTGAGAAGTCAGTTTCCCATTACAGTTAAATGCTTCACCACAAACCAAACACCTGAAAGGCTTCTCCCCAGTATGCATCCTCCGATGAATCAGTAGTTTACTTTTTATTAAAACTTTCCCACAAAACTCACACTTGTTTGTACACTTTTCCTTAGACGAGCTGCATTTCAAGTTTCCAACAGAATCTCTACAGTCTTTGTCTGCAGATCTGGAAAGAAGAGAGATCTGTAATGAATCTCTAAGGCATCTACCTACCTGCGACTACCACATGCAAAAAGCTATGACCTTATCTGATGAAGATAAGCTTTTTCTCCCGAACATCCTCATATTCCTGACCAACAGCAATCTTTTTCAATACTGTCCTTGAATTCAGGCTACAACAGCTCCTCTTTTATTCCCCAGTCTTAACAGCAAAAGGTCGCAGCAATAGATCATCATAAAAGTGGCAGCAGAGTAGTTCAATGTTTCAACTTTAAAAGCATTCTAGTTTCTTATTTATCACAAGCAGTACATGATGATATATAATTTCTTGGACATGATGTAACCAAAGTAATCACAATGCAAACAACACTAAGTATATTCTTTGGAGTACACTAAACTCAATAGGTGTTCTTTAAGTCACATCCCTAAGTTCATTATCTGCTTAATGTTATATAAATATATCAATTAATATTAAAAGCAACTGTTCATTTGCTATCATTAGTATTTTCCTATACACACACATAATAACCACCTTAATGTGAAATAATGAAATATTTACAGCCTATATATTGACAGAAATGCAATAATAAATTATTTGGTATGCTCAATAATTCACTCACATCAACACTCTCTTCTGATGTTACCGTGGCTACAAAACTAAATGCATTTTGTTTGGTAACAGATTACAGCACAAACAGTTTGTGTGATCACTGATACAGGGTGAGTCAGAAGCATGTTTACAAACTTCGTGTGCTTGTTCCAGAATCAAAAATAAGAAAAAAATGTTCCTATGAACATGGGGTCGCAAATGTTTCATTTTCAAAATAATAGCCACAAATGAGTTTCAGTGAATGACTTTATGTCAAAGTGAATCCAGCTTCCAGCAAAGATTTTCAATTAACATTTGGGCAGGAACTGTTGGCAACATGCTTATTGGTCCTCACATGCTTCCATCACGTCTAAGAGGACCTTCATATCGGCAATTCTGAAGAAGACTATTGCCATGTCTCCTTGAAGATGTACCACTGAATACAAGGAGACAGATGTCGTTTGTGCACGACGGAGCCCAGCACATTTCCCTCATCACATCAGATATCATCTCAATGAACAATACCCTCAGCAATGGATTGGGCGTAGTGGCTCAGTAGCATGGCCACCAAGGTCACCGGACCTAACTCTATTGGACTTTTATCTGAGGGGTCACTTGAAGTCAGTCGTTTATGCAACACCCATAAATAATGATGACGACCTATGGGAACGTGTGCAGAATGCATGCCAGATGATTCGAAGAAACCCTGGTATGTACGAACAAATCTGTCAGTCATGTGTACGTCGTCCTCGTGCATGTGGAGAATGGAGGAACAGCCTTTGAGCATCCGTTACAAAGAAACATCCCTGTCCTTATACTTGGCAATAAAGGCATACATTCAAAATTATTTTTGGCTATTATTTCGAAAATTAAACATCTGCAACCCCATGTTCATAGGAACATTTTTTTCTTATTTTTGATCCAGGAACACGCACACAAAGTTTATAAACATACTTCTGACTCACCTTGTATATGCATGGCAGCACTTATATTCAGATTGCACTATCAGTAGTTTGTGTCCCAATAGATGGCAGCAAGAATAGTTCACACAACTGACTGATGAGAACACAATATCTAATGACATCACCACAGATGATCATCCCGCCTTATGAATCAGCATCCATCACACTGGTATCACTGCAGAAAATTGGAATATGAAAGTCTGAATTTGCCTCCAATGGCTAACTTTTACACCAAATTTCATAAAAAAACCATCCAATTACACTTAAGCATATACACCATCATGGGAGATGACATCAGATTGTACTATCAACTTTAGGAGATTATGATTCTGTACTAGGAGGCACCACCAGCATAAAATTCACACGAAATTTCATAAAAATCCATTCAACTACTCATCAGCATCTTTCCCTTTGAATGACCTGCGTCACACATTCTTTAACTAGTATGCCCTGAAAGACCGAAATCTGGAATTTCTACTGTTTTTCATTATCCCTAATCACAGTAACAGGAGGTTAAATCATTCTTTAGCAGAGGGCAGACTGGTCAGATTGATCCTTCACAGATATTTTACAAGGAAGCTTAAAAAGCAGGTGGAAAATCTTATATTGCTATGTGAATGTCATCAGTGTTTTGCAATGTAATCACACAAATATTTATAACCACTTGACAACAAAGTTTAGGTTTACTTTATTCATTCCAATAAGCAATAACAGTAATTTCACATACTTAGATGCATGTGTCTCAAATCTAAAGTTTGTGACGATGGTGAGTTATTTAAATAAAAAGTTTTTTGGATGTTATACATCATCTAATAAAATAATAAAATTGCACCGCTTTGACTTCCGGTCATCTCGGAAGAAGTCAAAGTGGTGCAGCAATGGTCTTATGAAGTTATTCCTACCTTTAGTGAGTCCTTGTTTTTATTCGAGCTTCTGGCATTTCACTCGTTAAAATATTTGATCATCGACAATTTCCTATTTTATTCAGTTACTCTCATCAGTTTTTTAGCTTCTTAGTTTGCTGGTCATTGGTTTTATATTACTTCCATCATAGGCACCCAACTTTTACACCTGTTTCATAATAGTTTTGGACAATGTTTTTCTTTTTACATCCCACGGATGTATGTTGTGGTGATCGGCTTATATTCCAGAACTTTCACTTTTTGCTTTGTCCAGAGATAGGTATTAGCTCTATCGATGGGGCCCAACAGAGTAGGTATACCTGAAGACGAGTCCCATCTCCGAAACGTTCAATTTAATTATTTTATTCGACGATGGGTAACATCCAAAAATCGTTTTATTTAAATCCATGTGATTCATATTATTGTGGATACTGCAAGACTTGCCTCTAAAATTGTAATGAAATGTAATCATAACTAAGTCACAGCCATATTGGTACAGATTTATTAGTTTCCAGCTCCAATGCTTTAACCTAAGAATGTTTAAATTTATTAAAGAGGCTACTACTCAGGACAGGAGATTTAAATTTCACATGCCCAAAGACACACACTTTAAAATAAATATGAATAGCTTTTGAACTAACAATTTTTTTTTATTTCTAGGCCATATCCATAAAATCGTACAGAATTTAGTGTCTAAAAATTATGTATGGTTATTCATTACCTTAGTGAGGCAATTCATTTTTCCCATACTTTAACCTGTGGTGACTGCATTTTATCAATAAGTCACCAAAACTGAAATATGTAATCCACAGTTTTGCCCCAACTCAGAACCTCCAAACCTCTGGGCACCGAGATTAATTTCTGCCATCAAGTCAAATTTATGTCCATGAATTTGCCCACACCAATCTCAGAAGAATGCTACAACCAATATACACATGCAGTTGCAGGCAGACTCAAGCAGCAAGTCCCCACAGTATTCACCAGACAGGGTGGACAAACCACAAAGTGGATCCCAACACTTTTTAGGACAGTTCAATATGTTTGAAATGTTACTTTAATTACAATTTCTTAAAACATATTCATTCACATTGCACTCAGCCCACAGGACTTATTCTGCCCAACAATGCTGTAAGATATCTTACAAGTCTGTATCATAAGTATTCCCAATATTCCTGCATTTCATGCTATTGGTGTATTAAAATCTGCATTAAAAATCATCTACAGTATTTCTGGATTTCCCAGACAAGTTGAAGAAATAAACTATCCACTTCCTTCCACACAAATTAAAACCGGTTTGAATTATGGAAACAAATCAAAAATTAAATAAAGTAGTGCAAAGATCTCCAACATTCCATCATACACTTGAAGCAGAAACATTGTAGCTCCTGTTAAAGTGTTCCCCACAACAAATGCATTAAAAAAAATTTAAATTAAAATATAGTCTGCAATTTTCCACACAATCAACTTTTATTGCATCATTATGAGTATGAACATTAATAGACATCTTGCTGATCAAATCAAAGAAACACTGAAACTGAAGATCAGAAGTCTGGATGAGCTATTTCCCTCACAGTATACCTTCCCCAACATCAAACAGAATACAGTGCTTCCCTTTACAACATTTTTCAGAAAAATGCTTTACCACATATGTATACATGATTACATGAACATACATTAAGTCTGGATGATGACATCCGATTCAATCTGATGGCACTGGTACAAAGGATCACTGTAAATTTTGTGACAAATTCAATTTTGGATCAAAGAGGCAAATCAGTATACAAGAAGGGTTAAATTACATGTTATCAACTTTGAAAAAGAATTAACAGGATGAAACACATTCACATCAAAACTGCAGACAGTTCCATTTTCATCATCAAATGTTTTTTAGAATAATAATCAAACACTAAATGGACCAACTACATACACTTTAAGCATTAAATTAAAATATTAATACAGTAGTGAATCCCCTTGAATATTATTCAGTCAGAACTGTGATTTTCAACTTCAGTATCATGAATTCAGATCCCTGTATAAAATTGTTTCAGCTTCATGATGCCAACAAATAATACTTCCTATGTCACAAAAAACTTTTTTATACAAACATGTTTGGCTACATTCCCTCTGCACACCAACAAGTTTGCAGCTCTGTTCACCTCTACTGCCTTCACTACATTAAATAATCATCAAGGTCACAAGATAATAAGTGCCACAAATCAATGCTAATAATGAAACACCTGGCATAATTTGCAAGGTAATCTTATATACACATTGGTTAACTTACTCAATCAGGATATAAAATTCATGGAAGAGGTTCAGACAGGAGACATTGACAGTTTACACAAAATACTGTATGAAGAATAATCCTTCACAGAACACACAAAAATATTCCTGAACATCTACATGCTGTCTTCACAAATCTAAACAAGCACAGTGAGAAAATACAACTGCCTTCTTGCTTGTGTACATGCAATACAGTCTTGTACATTATTTTTGGTATTTTAGATGTGAAAATTGAAAATAAAGTACCTTACAATAGATATAGCATATAAAAAAACTGTCCCTCTTACTTATTCCATTTTGCACAATCCAGGAAGTCACATGTGGTTGGGAATTAGAGATTTTTTAGTAAAGGAAAGTAAAACCAAACATACAGCTTTAGAGCATACAAGGTGGGCACCACAAATCACTTTCACAATCCATTCGTTTTTATACTATTACAATCAGGTCTAAAAGACCTGATCCTTCTCAACCTGGTGAAGGAATTAAGTTTTCTTCCATTGAACATAAATGCCCAAGCCTTACTTAGAACATCAAACCATAAGGCATAAAAAAGAATAAGAGTTTGAACAATCAATACACTGAAAGTTAACAAAAATAACTTTGTTTTCATATATAATTTTGAAAATACATTACTAAATAAGTTCTAAAAAAGGTCTATATAAGAAGAAATTTAACTGGCCTTTAAAAATAAAGATAAAAACTGTTTAAAAAAAGTGGAGAAACACGAGCATCTCAAATAAAGTATTTCCCAGTCATTCAGATACAGCTGCAATGGTGATCCCGTCGGAAATAAAAAGACCACAAAAGTGGCCAATAGTGCCCACCTCTGTAAGAGGCCATACACAGAAGCTGTAATAACAGAGTTGTAACTGAAAAGTTGAGTAAAGGGAAAATCCACCAAACAAACAAACAAACACACCATTAAGTGCAGATTCCAGTTGAGTTGAAAAAGAACAGCTTGCAAAGGAAGACAGTGACAACCTTCCACGAGGATCAACTCATTCAACATAAAACCCCAAACATTTTACCAACTTGTTGACACAAAACATAAACATATCAGCATAACCATATGCTGATACATTTGCAGTTAGCACATAGAAAATTAGCCATATTAAAGCTATGGTAAACTGTTAAACAATTTTCAATAACCTTACTAAACTTCTAGCTATCATACATCACAAGCATGTCATGAAGATTCATTATACATGATTTACACTCCTAAAAGCTAGACGACCTTTGTAATTTATATAGGTCAAGCAGTACTGGCTGGTTAAGACAGGCCAGATCGTACTGGGCATGTCACTTGGATAGGAAGATCAATATACCAGGCTCCATCTACATAACCTATCGAATTTTGGGTTATTACTACCATAGTGTCAGTATGATTTGAGAGTCTGAAAAGACTCAAATTGAAACAGCAATGTGAAGACACTCAAAAATGCAGTGTTAACTCATTTTCTCCTAGCATGTGGCATTTTCCAATGGAACAAAAAACAGCAGAAAAATACAGCATGTGCTTTCACAAATACAGTGTGTCCAGATGAAAGGTATCCAAAATAAAAAAAATTACATCTCGGAAACTAATTGTCAAACACGTATCCGGTTTATGTCATAAGAAAGGAAAACGCCGAACGTTGTTTTCAGAGTATATAACTTTCTCAGAAAATTTCAATGTGGGCTCCCCTGGTGGCACGACAAATATCCAGACGATAGTCGACCTCGTTCCACGTTGCTTGAAGTGTGTTTGGTGTTACCGCAGCCACAGCGTCCCTTATGCAGGCTTTCAGGTGTTGAAGGTCGTTGATCTTAACCTGGTAGACATTGTTCTTCACATAACCCCACAAGAAAAAAACCAATGGGGTTAAATCTTGTGACCTAGGAGGCCATGCGATTGGTCCACCTCTGTCGATCCATCTCTCTGACCAGGTGATTCCTAACATCGTGGCAGAAATGTGGCGGCACCCCATCTTGTTGGAGGATAATTTGAGGTGGTAATTGGGAGGTGGTAACTGGGGCAGCGCATACAGCTCCAGCATGTCCAAGTACGAACGTCCGGTCACAGTCTTTTCCGAAAAGAAAAACGGTCCAATCAACTTGTCATGCATTAAGCCGGCCCACACGTTGACTTTGGGGCTGCCTCTCTCCAACTCAAATGTGACATGTGGATTTTGACTGCCCCAAATCCTGCAGTTGTACCTGTTTACAACTCCATTGACATGGAACGTCGCCTCGTCCAAGAAGCACACTTGGCAGAGGAAATCGGGTGACTTCTTCCTATTCGTCAATTCTTCCTAGCATGTCCACAGCGAAGTTTGTGCATGCTACTTGGTCAGTCGGTTTTAGTGCATGAATCATTTGAATCTTGTACGCTCTTAGGCGGAGTCTTTTGTGTAGCACATCGTGCACTGTTGAACGTGGAATTTGTAACTGCAAGCTAGCAGCACGAATTGATTTGCGCGGACTTCGCTGGAATGCCTCTCTAATGTGATTGACATTTTCTTCAGAGGTCCATGTCTTTCAAGGAGATTTTACACGCAACAGACTACCTGTAGTCCTCAGTTTGTTGCCCAGGACCGAATTCTTTTCCGTGTAGGAGGTTGACGTCCATACTGCGTTCTAAAACGACGCTGGACAGCCATAAGAGATTGCAACTCTGCTAGCCACAACACGCATTGAACCTGTTCCTGTGGTGTCGACATCGTTACTGAGCTCGCCGAAGGTCACCAGCTGGGGCATACGCGTAAGCCGGGCATGAAAAAACTTTCAGAGTTTTCCTTTCCTATGACATAAACCGGATATGTGTTTGACAATTAGTTTCAGAGATATAAATTTGTTATTTTCGATACCTTTCATCCGGACACTCTGTATAATGAGAGCCATAGATACACCAATTAGAATGATGCATATTGAGGATAAACTGACACCATTACATTAAGTTTATGCATGTAGCTTCAAGCATAACAGAAATGTCAACAGATGAGGAAATCTGAAAAATCAGTCTTTTAATTGGGCTGATGGCTGAACTAAAGTTTGTAAGTTTGAAATTTAAAATTTGCTACAGGCTTGTTTCCGGGATTTTACTGTTACAAAAAAGAAAGTATAATGACCACTATTAGCAACTTCCGGTTAACAATGCAAAGAGAAAGATAACTATTAGCAGTTGCCAATTAACAATGCAGTGTGACTTGGAACTATCACAACAGACTGTCCTTCCATAAAATTTATGTGGCATCACGATACTTATGCAGTGCATAGAATGAATGCAGAGCTGCAATAGAGAAAAATCCATCAATATGGCATTACCATGCAAAGACATGACACTTTTCAACTGCTAAAATTATAGCACACTTCACTTGACAATCATGCACAAGTGTCTTGCATCAACATCATAAATAAAAAATAAGACACAATTCAGTGTTTCATCTATCGTTCCTCAAGCCTTGACTTTAAAAGTAAATTTGCTACACAGGTTATTTGCCAACTTTAAACTGTATCCACTCTTAACACATTATACAGTGGTAACATGTGGATCCCTTATCATACACAAGCAATGCATCTTAAATAAAGCGGTTGCAACCTTGTAAGGAATGGAAGTGAAATTTATGACATTATTAGAAAGAACATCTTGAAGAGCCACTCTGTCCCCTTCCAATTTGTTAGAAAGTAATTTTACATCAATCACATGTGCTAGTCTACACATAATTGCCGCTTTATTCATATTATACAACACAATAATAAAAAGCTCTATAAAAACCTGACTCTTTCCACTACAAACTCGCTGATATGTAAAAAAATTGCCAATTATTTACATTTTACATACTAATAAAGCCTGAAAGAAATCAGTAATATGAAGTTACTGTGGCTACTACTAAAAAAGAACTACAAGTCAGTACTTCAAGGGCTGCAGGTTACCATCTGTCAAATAGGCCTTAATGGCATAAAATAACAAACAAGAAAACAAATAGAATATATGAAAAACAAAGACTATCTCAAGTCAGGAACTTCAGTATCAATAAATATGAACTGGGAAACCACAGTTTTGTATATGGGAACACTATTCAAATAAATATGACCAGTACTACTTCACTGACAGACCAGTTCATAAATCTTCTATCATGGCTCGTGCTTCCGCATATGCGTTATCATGATGGTCCTTGTGACAAACCCCTTGTTGCACACGACACACTTGTAGGGCCTCTCACCCGTGTGGTAGCGCCTATGCACAGTGAGAGTTGATGCCTGAGTAAATGACTTGCCACATGTCACACACTTGTATGGGCGTTCACCTGTATGTATGCGCTGATGTACTACGAAGTACTTACGATGTGAGAAACCCTTCCCACACACATCACAGACCAGGGGCTTCTCCCCAGAGTGCATCATCATATGGCAATGGAGTGACTCCTTACTGGTAAGTTCTTTCCCACAGATCTCACATGAGTAACCTTTCTCACCTGTATGAGTCCTTATGTGTTGCAACAAAGTCCTCTTCACAGAAAATACTTTTCCACAGAAACTGCATGTTAAGTTGTTTAAAGAGTTTTTATGACTTTTGGTGTGATGGTTGTAACTGTTCCTTGTTTCAAATGTCAAATCACATATGCCACACGCAAATGGCTTGTTACTACTGCAACGTAAATCATTCTGATCTGTTCCCACTAGGTGAGTTCTCTGGTGTGTTTCAAGCGTTTTATTGTACCTGAAGCGGCTACCACAAGTATTGCAAGAATAAGGTTTAACCTCCATGTGCATTGCACTATGCATTTTTAAGTGATGTTGAGTCAAGAAAGTTTTACTGCACACTTTGCAACCAAACTTTCTTTCCTCATGACTCTTCATGTGATACGAAAGCTTAAAAGAACTAGAAAATGTTTCAAAACAATCTGTGCATCTGAAAAGTGTCTCTTCCCTGTGAGAGACAATGTGAACACTTAAGGCATCATTTGTTGAGAACAACTTCCCACATTTCTTACAAGAGAAAAAGTTAGGAGAAATGTGAACAGGATTACTGCTGTTTTGAAACTGAGTTACCTCGGTTATCATTTCTCCAGGGTTATTTAACACACGGAATAAACTTGATAGGTTCCCAAATAATCCTTGAGCATTTGTGTCATCAGTAAACCTGGAAAAAAAAGCTCTTGTTAATAATGGCAAAAAGGTATAAATAATGTATTCATGTATAAATAAAATTTAAAGGGGCAGTAAAAAATTATTTTTATTCAATAGGTGTGTAAAAATCACTGGTTAAGTAGTTAAGGAAAAATGAAAAATAAAAATACCTTCTTTTTAACATGAAAGTACTGTGGGGGAGCCAAAGCCCTCAACTGAATTTTGACTGCGTCTTGGATTACTTTGATTAGTCCACTTCTTCAAGTAACAGGGCTGTTCTGTATTTCACAGATATGAAATTGGATTACAATAAAACTCTCCTTAGGTTTGAAACTTTTAGCATTTCTAAGAACAGCCCTAACAGTGAAACCAGTACAAAACGGAAAGACTTTACACCTTTGGAAAATTCCAACAAAGGTAAACTTCCATTTTATAAGGTTTTAATTACAATTTTCCTATTGTTTGGCACTAAGCCACTATTCTAGTTCCTTTCTATAAAAACAACATCCAACATACCTGAAAAGTGGTCTTCCCCAGGAATTTTTCAAGGCTTCTTGCCACCAACCCTGACTGCTAGAACGTTTCAAATCAAAAACAACTCAATGTCTTTGATTCGATGACAGAAGCCAGGGTTCAAACTTGTCATAATTCACAACCAGTCACTTGCTTCTGAGAATCAACCACCAAAACAAACTTTCGAGTCGAACGTTCCTTGGTGCGTAAGTTTAAAAAGGCAGAGCCATTCCCATCACAAAAGGTTACAAAGCACTGCAGCGGGGCAAAAATAAAACAATCAATCCAATAATGTAAAATATAACAGAACCAACATCTCAAGTGTCATGGCACACACAGTGATCTATTCGTCACACAAGACCTCACAGTCCAGGATGCTCTAGTTCCATTTCATACAAGTCTCACTGAACAGTGTGATTATTCACAAGACGAACCACTAAGCCCTGCTTTAGGTTTAAGTAACTGCAGCTTTAAATCAACATAGACGTCAAGTCCCTACAGAGATGGCAGTAACAACATCTTCATGTGAGACATCACAACCAACTGATCTCCCACTTCAAATTGGCACATAACGCCAGGCTGGTGTATAACTGTTCTGTCATTAAGATGTTACAGTACAGTAGAACCTTGTTTCAACAAACGTCTTATGTGCTCATCAAGTAGACAACAGACTTCAGTACAGCATCACCTTCCTTACATACAGCCTACATCTCACCCCCACAGAAGAAAGAGAAATACAGTCTTGTATGTCTTCAGCTGATGTTCACTGCCCCTCCCCCCCGGTCTGATCCATTCAACTGTGCAGAACTTGAGGATCCAGCTTGTCCTTGCAGTGAACCTACCTGGCCATGCTATTGAATGTCTTGAGGCCCTTAAAACAAGGTTGTACTGTACACATTTGCAATAGCATTGTTACCCTCCTGGACCCCAGTTTCATCAGATCATTCGCTACTGTTGCAAAGTAAGGAATGTCTTTCCAAGAATCCCTTTGCTGGTCAACATGAAACCTCTTCAACTCAGTTCTACGTAACATAATCCCAAATAATCCATCTACAACAAATATTCACAAATAATCTACAACAAAATCAGCTGTTCTTACATCAATGAGTCTGAAAAACATTTTACTACCATGCCACTGAGCTCCAGTAATTAATTATTCAAATATCTGTGTATACCGTTTCACTCATACTCTTTTAATAATTTGAGCAAACAAAATCATATTTGTGACCTGCTGTTATCACCCTTCACTTGTAAGTTGACCTCTATGTAACAAAGTCACCAGGACTTCAATTTAATGATTTGTATATTTTCAAATAAAATACTGGTTTCAAAATTTGTCTAAACTCACATCACTGAACACTCCTAATACACAATTTCAAATACATTTAAAATCAGGCTGAATTTCGAAAATAAGTACTATGTAGTAACTAAAAAGCTTGTTGACCCACCACCACACTAGTAACAAAGAGGCTGCAGACACAACTGAAGTCATGGCTATATGAAAACCAGTTGCACAGCATCATAAAAAGCATGAATAGATAAATCAGCATACTGTAAGAACAGCTGACCTTTGAAAAAAAAACAAAGTGGATCCACAAGCATTAATCAACGCCTGTGTGCATGTGTGTAGGGTGCATATTGGGAACCCTAGAAGACCAGTCTTGAAATGTGTACAAATAACATACCTGCATCCTGAGTTACTATTTTCATCTTGATAATAACCTACTTCAGTTAGTTTAACACTTCATCTATATATACACAAAATCTGTGTGCAATATATAAACATTTCATCAATAACAAAACTGCAAACTCCAGAGGTACACTTATAATGCAACAAAAAAATAAATGTACCAACTTGTACAATAACAATCCATAAAATCTAATGTTGAGGAAATTACATTAATTCCTACCAATATCCTACTAATAAGCTCTAAATAACACCTGAAAATCACTAATGTCAAAAAAGGGATATGCACATCAGCTGAAGAAATAAAGCAGCAATGCTTCACAGATAAACTGTTCTCTCACTTCAATCGGGTATGGCCACACTTCTCAAGACATGCCATACAATCACATATTCCTACTCATTTTTTGCCCTCTTAAGAAAACAAAAAGAAAATGTAAGCATGTCATTTTGTATGGGTGTGCAAGTACTAATGGTAAAACAAGTCATAAAACCATACAATAAACACCAACATGACTCCCTAAAAAACTATATAGCCATTCAGACTGCCTTATGTACAACACCCACTCGCACTCATCTCTGCAAAGCAGACTGCTTTCCCATCCAGAAGCAGTACCAAAAACAAAATATTTCTAATGAATGTCTGTTCACACTATAATAAAATGTGCATAAAATCCATCAAACAAGTTCAGGTTTTACATGGACACATGGAAATTTCAACAAACAACTTCATCCAAACTTACAACTTCACACAACAAACACCATACATAAAAGCCATAAAAGCATAGAGGTCCTTAATAAATATGTTGAGAAAATTACATCAGGAATTGCTCTGAAACATCAATGCCCAAAGTCTCAACACAAGAACTTTAACTTCTTAAATAAGCACAGATCAGTTTGAGTCATAAATAACAGTTCCCTGCTACTACAATAATTAAATATGTCCAGCAGTAAAAAAACTAACAATCTTCCTTCCATATAAAAGTTCAACATTCCTGTCCAGTTCTCAAAGGCTGGACTTCAGGGTGAATATGCATGTGTGCGTGCATGCACACACACACACACGTGGGAATTATGAAAGCCTTCACATGTCTGGCACTACATGTTGAGCAAAAAGTGATTAGTGTAACTAGGCAAGCAGCGGGACTGGGCCGCAAGCCAACGAAGAGTGACCATGTAATTGAGGTAATGAAAAGAGTTCTTAATGACCACATGACAAGGAAAACAGGTGATGAGAAGTTTTAGAAACCATGTGGTTAGGATTATGTAAAGAGGTGGTAAAAAAAATTGAGAACCATGTTATTCTGGAAATGATGTGATGGGAAAAAGTTAATAAAATAAAAAGGTGATCACAGGAAGACGCAAAGGATGCTTGTTCAGAAAGAAGGAAGAAATAAAAGATAAAAAAACAAGGCTTGCAGACTGATATTCAAAATAGGATCTTTATGATCTTTGTTTGAAACATTTAAATTAGACAAAATGCTGCATTTTACAAATTGTGTGACATTAAGGAAGGTTGTACACTGAACTTAAAATAAGTCTGTCAAGTGACTACAGACTCATCTTACTACTGGCACAATGATCACATTATAAGATAATCCTCTACTTCAAGAAATGACTGTAGCAGGGACATATTTGGTTACAGAATCAGTGAACACATGTGGCAGAATTTATTAACTTGGGCCCTCATCCTTCTGTTCTGATACAGCTACATGCTCCTCACACAAATGACTGCATTCATTTCAATTTTAATAACAGCATATCACTTTGTCCAATCTTACAGGAAACTCATCACACTTAGAACTTTCTACTGAACAAAGTAAATCACGAAGTCTGAAAAGTCTTGAGGTAAGATATTGTGCTGAAAAGACGAGTACCGAGGTGGAAAACAAAATATAAAGCCCTGCAATATGAAATGTTAGCCTTAATCAACTGCACATCACAGCGCATGTACAGATGAGTTGGCCATACACTGCAATGCCATACCACTAAAATTTAAAATCAGGAGTCAAATTTCTGCCAGCAGCTTTGTAGTAGGGGGGCTTAAATATTCCCTATTTGTGTCAACAAAATTTAATATAACCAGGCATGCAGGCATTTAAGAACTGTCATTTACAAAAAAAAATGTAATAAGGTAAGATAATATTGTTTCAAAAAAGAAGCAAGTAGTGTTCCTAACAAATGGGTCAGTCTCCTAAATGACAATCATACTAATGGTGGAAGTTTTGTGGCCAGTTTTCTTTGTTAAAGTAAATATTGTTCAAAACACCCAAATAGGCAGTGGACTATGGCATAATTTTCTTGCATATTTGTCAGATTACTGTTCTCAAATATCTGTAATCTCTTAGCCTAATTCATCAACTTTACTTTGTACAATTTAAAATACGAACAAATTTCATCCTATGACCTCAGGTTCCCTAATGTTACGAAGGAAACGGGTCCAGCAGCAACGTTCTTATTTACCCAAAATGTGTCAAAGAAGGTATGCTTTGGAAATTTTCTCACACAGTCCTGGGATTTAAATCACTGCATAGCACATTACACTAGTGCAGCAGTGTACATTTCACACTGCTACATTCTACATGTGCAGTAAATAGTTAATGTTTCACCTGCTTGAGTGCAATTTCTGCTCTGGACAACCATATTTACAAGCACAGAATGCATACTTTCATATTATCCATTAAACACACACACACACACACACACAACTCAGAGGCCCACACTCTCCACTCAACAAACAAAATTGCTGTACCACAAACAAATTTTCTAATGACTTAACTCTAATCACCAGACCAAGAACTACTTTCGAAATCCATGCTACACATTTGCCCACCACTAAAAAAGAAAAAGAAAAATATGCATGGCACATAGTACGATGAGTCCGCCTGCTTAAGAGATTACACATCATATGAGAATGTGGGACAGGACACAGCACAGACACAAAATCCAATATCACAGAACACCCATCATAACAAATCTTCAATACTGATTTTCTTTTGGACTGGATTTAGAACAGCAGAAAATCAATACTGAATGTAACAAACCACCATTATAACCTTCTAAGGGTTACAACAAATATCTTGTTTAAATTGTTGTTGAGTTCCCACAATCACCACTTTATCAATTTCTTACTTGTGTTATACACTACAACTAAAGAAGCTATTCCTGCATTGTTGGAAATAAAATGAATTTCATACTGACACTTCCTCATACTCTATGAATCATAAATAAAAAGAAAGAATATTCACATTTTTACAGAAAATAAACCAGAGCTCTGTTGGAGGATAAGTGTACCTTCAATTCACATGATATTCAGACACAATGCAGTAATATTACCACTAGCCCGAAAAGAAACAAGGTCAGGGAAGAGAGAACAATATTAAACAAAAAAAACACATATATAAAGATATATGCACAGTACTTGTAGATTACACTCTCCTGCATACAATACAGTTGAATTCAAAA